TCATGCCTCCATGATATTTTTCGATATTTCATAAGAGACTGCGATGTCAGAAAGCATGCAGGCCTTCCCATTTCACCCGTCCGAGAGATACTAACTGACCGTGGCGAGCCCACAGTCCGGGACGGGTTTTGAGTTGTAGGGCGGTGAAAGGGCGCGGGAGGGATCTCAAGAAGTTGATAACGGGATGAGTCTGTTTTTATCCGTTTTTGTATGAATATGAATACATTCATGAATATGCAAAAACGGATATTGTCGAGAGATTCTCTTTGTGTTTTTGTGTTCGGAGTGCTTCCTGTCACCCATTTTCGATTCAGCGAACCAGAAACTTGTGCCAACCCCATGTGCGATCCTCCCTTTTTGAAAACAATATTCATGTACGCTTGGTTCACACTTAAGGGAACGTGAAAGGAACTGTAGCAGCCAGGAACCGCACAAGCTAGGGAGCTGCAATTTTACGAAGACGTTGCATGTCCAAGTGCGTGCTAAAGATTTCAGATTCAGCAAAGAAGGCCCAAGTGCCGCAGTAAGCGCAGTTAAAATTTCGCCTTTCGACAGTTTTAGTAGCCATTCAACTCTGCGGTCAGACTGAGTAGTAGGAGGCTGTAGTTCTGTGAGGATACGTGAGTGCGCAAGCATAAAATGAGCTTTCACATGAGCCCGGTGCATGGACATGTCAAATGTTCAGATTGCAACACTTCCTCTCTCGCGCGCACACCGCAGTCAGGCAGACCAGAAAGTGGAAATTTCACGGTAATGCTGGCGTCTCTTAAAATCCTCTGCTACAAGTGCTGATGTTTTCGATACAACAAAAATCAGGTTGCGAATGGCCGCGCCGCCGCCACTGGTACACGCTGTTAATGATGTGGTACTGCGGGGGGAGAATGGGTGCATAAGCGAATTGCACAGTTAGCTGAAGAGGGATGGTGCGATTCTGGATATGTGCATGCTGTGAAAGCAGACATAATCGACTCGCCGGCGTGAAAAAGTGGCTGTTGGTTGTGGGTAAGCTGAGAGTTTTTTTGGATAACTGCTGCTACGTGTTTTGCTGTTTCAGGAGGTCGCGGGGCAGCTCTTGGTGTTGCTGGGGCAGAACACTTCTGTTCCAGTGTTTGCATGGGAAATACCGAAACAAACGTCTGGAGAATGGCCAGCGCGGATTGCAAAAACACACCATCGGTGAGTTTTTTTCAGCTGGAACGCTGTGAGTTTGTGTATGCGCTGTCGCATTCGAAACAGAAGCAGTTCTGCATTCAGCAGCCACACGATCCAGGAAGGCTTGCGGTACCCTGTTGGTGTGGCCATGCACTGCATGCTTTGCAGGACGGAGCAGGAGTTTGTGTGATGGCCCGAGCACTGCTTAGCAGCACCAGGCTGTCGTTCGTTCAGCGCTGCTCTTTTTCAGGCCGCAAAAATGGCAGCGGCTGCAAACTGCCTGCAGAACGTGATGCCGATCCACACGCAGTCGGTCACCCACGATTACAGGATCAGTCGTCAGGTATCCGCCCTTCTTCACGCTCCCTTTTGCAAATGCTGCTGGAATGCGGGGAGCACCGGTGCCAGTGGGCTGCGCGCAGCATTAAAATCTTGCTCCAATTTTATTTGTGTTATTATCAGCACATGGTGCAGGGCCTAGTGACCACTTATCATTGTTTCCAGTGGCGCCACTTCGGGATCCCCCCAGTTGCTCCTGGGGACCCGGCGCCCTGTGCTGCGTACTCGCTGGCGTAAACTGTCCTCGGATTTTTTTACCTCGCTGAGATTACCACATCTCTGCCTGTCAATGGTTCCGAACCTTGGACCGTCAACTGTTACGCTGGGCGTTATCTGCTGGGCCATTGGGGCCCAGCGTGTGTCCGATTGCTCAGCTTTTGTGTAGTGCGCGCAGCGGTGCGCATGCAGGCAGTGGTTTTTTAGATGTCTGAGTTATGCATGGCGGCAGCGGCGTTAGCGTAACTTTGCAGGTGCTCGGCGTGGGTATCAATGGCAAAGTGGTGGAATGTGAAAGCCGTAAAACAGGCGAAAAATTTGCTCTAAAGGTAAGTGCACTCTTCTCAGTTTTGTATGCCTTGGTTTCTTTTTTTTTTTGTTTTGCGTACGAGGAAGTGCTTGTAAATAGGCAGTGCGGTGGCCGCGACTGGAAGGCGGGGAGAGAGGTTGGGGGGGAGGGGGAGGGGAATGTTTAGGGTGTCAGTTTGTCGAGTGCTCATTTGTAGCTGACATTAACAGAGGCAAGAGAAGCCACAGCGCATGGCTGGATGAAGTGCAACGGTGTGATGCATTCAGGTTTTACGTGATGTTCCAAAGGCACGGCGAGAGGTGGAACTGCATTATGCGGCGTGCAACCATAAGAACATCGTCCGGATATTGGACGTCTATGAGAATACCTACAATCAAGTGCAGTGCTTGCTTGTTGTGATGGAATGCATGCAAGGTTCGGCGAGGTGTTCACATTGACACACGGACGCCTGGCAGTGCAGCTAACTCACCGGGATGGCATTGCAGGTGGTGAGCTGTTCACGCGCATCCAGCAGCGGGCACGCACTGCTTTTACGGAGCGTGAAGCCGCCCAGATTATGTATGAAATTTGTTCTGCTGTTGCGCATCTTCACTCACTCAATATCGCACACCGAGATATAAAACCGGAAAATTTACTTTACACGTAAGTTAATGTTGTTGTTTAAACGAAACTCAGAAGCTGTGTGCAATCCCGTTCACGTGTGTGTGTGTGTGTGTATAGATGTATGTGGTGTGTGCATATGTGCGTATGCGTGCATATGTTTCTGTGCAGCGTTTGAGCTCCCATTGATTTTTTGCTGTATCTTATCAGTTTCTTGATCTTTCAGCTGCGATGGGCCGTCGGGTGTTTTGAAATTAACGGATTTTGGTTTTGCAAAACATTTGGATTCTGCAGACACGAGGCCGTTGGAGACGCCATGCTATACACCCTACTATGCTGCTCCGGAAGTAAATTTTCAGCAAACTTATGCAGTAAACAGAAATTTGATAAACTTTTTTAGAGCTGTTTGGCTGAAAATTAACAGCAGGCAAGACTTTTAGCATCGATGGCTCTCTGAGTGCAAACTGTCTGTCTTTCAGGTGCTTGGCCCCGAGAAGTATGATAAGTCGTGCGATCTCTGGTCCATTGGTGTGATCATGTATATCTTGTAAGTTTCAACTGAGTTGTGACAGATGAGGAATAGGTGCTGCAAATCGTTGCAGCCACTGACACTTTGAGTTTGAGGTAGTTTGTTGTAAGGATTGTGCGAGAATGTGGGCCTAATGCTTTCTGCACATCACGTTTTTATAGGCTGTGCGGCTTTCCGCCCTTTTTCTCTGCAAACGGGCTGCCAATGTCGCCTGGAATGAAAAACCGTATCAGGTCAGGGAAGTATGCATTCCCATCGCCAGAATGGGACCGCGTCTCCGAAGCCGGTCAGTTATCTCCTGTCACTTTTTATTCCATGCTTCTCACCCAACTCAAGCGCGTGCTTATGCCATGAAAAGTATTTTGCAGCGAAAGATCTGATTAGAAAGTTGCTGCGCACAGATCCGAGTGAGCGCTATACGATCGAGGAAACAATGAACCATAAATGGATCACGCATTACCAGAAGGTACCTGAAACACCTCTCTTCACAGCTGCAGTACTCGAGGAAGAGAAATCGCAGTGGGGCGAAATGCAAGCAAGTTTTATTTCATTTCTCTTCCAAATTTGGCCTGTTTTCCTCAGATTTTTCTTCCGTTTCAGTTAGAATGTCCCCATCCTATACCAGCTAAACTGATCGAAGTTACTTCTGGGAAATGTAATATTGTTATTTTTGTAC